CTATCAGAGTAATAATTCAGGCAAGATAGTCTCAATGCATCTTCCTATAAAATATTTATTACATAGTTATTAATTTGTAAGTAGGAGATACTTATTACTTAACTTTAGAGTGGTGAAGCCTAGAAAACACCACCTTTTTTCCCCCTTCAAGTTCTTATTTAAATTCCATAGTGTAATATTAGTTTCAGGTGTACAATTTAGTGATTCATCATTTACATACAATACCCAGTGTTCACTGTAAGTGCTCTCCTTAATACCCATCACCCATTTAGCCCATCCCCCCACCCATCTCCTCTCCAGCAACTCTCAGTTCTTTCTTATAGTTAAGAGTGTTTTCTAGGCAGCTCTTTCTGCCATGGGTCCTGTCCCCATGCTTTAATAAAAAAAAAAAAAAAGTCTCTTCTAGTTTGCCTCTCTCTTTTTTTCCCCCTTTGCTTGTTTGGTTTCTTAAATTTCACATATCAGTTAAATCATATGGTATTTGTCTGTCTCTGACAAACTTATTTCACTTAGCATAATACCTTCTAGCTCCCTCCATCCACATTGTTGCAATGGCAAGATACCATAGTTTTTGATGGCTGAGTAATATTCATTTGTATATACAGACCACATCTTTAGCCATTCATCAGTCAATGGACACATGGGCTCTTTCCATAATTTGGCTATTGTTGATAGCTGTATAAACATCGGGGGGCATGTACCCCTTCAAATCTGTATTTTTGTATCCTTTGGATAAATACCTAGTAGTGCAATTGCTGGATCATAGCGTAGTTCTATTTTTAACTTTTTGAGGAACCTCCATACTTTTTTCCATTGTGGCTGGACCAGTTTGCATTCCCATCAACAGTGTAAGAGGGTTCCCCTTTTTCTGCATCCTTGCCAACACCTGTTGTTTCCTGTGTTAATTTTAGCCATTCTGACAGGTGTGAGGTGGTACCTCATTATAGTTTTGATTTGTATTTCCCTAACAATGAGTGATGTTGAGCATCTTAGAAAACACCATCTTAATCAATTGATAAAATACCACAGCACTGGGACAAATCAACTGTGCCTCCTGATATGAAGACAGTATTTTTATGTGGTATTCCTGACAAAGATGCGTAACTTGAATCTATTCATGAGATAACATCAGGCCAATCTAAATGGAGAGATATTCTATGAATTACTGATCTCTATTCTTAAAAACTGCCAAGGTCATAAAAGATAAGCAAAGATGCAGAAATATTCAATTTGAAGAAGAAAGAGACATGACAACTAAGTGCAGTGCATGATACTGTATTGGACTGTGACGTTATAAATGATTTGGGGGGAACAACTAGCAAAATCACATTTTTAAAAAATGGTAGCTATCTCAGGAAGGGCAAAGATTTCTACAAGATTATCTGCAGTTGGGAGTTTTTCTGACAATCTTCAAAGATTTTAGATACTCTTTGTAAATACCCTGGATTTTTACTATCTTTTTCTTTTTTTTAAAGATTTTATTTATTTGACAGAGAGAGAGAGAGAGAGAGAGAGACAGTGAGAGAGGGAACACAAGGGGGAGTGGGGGAGGGAGAAACAGGCTTCCCATTGAGTAGGGAGCCCGATGTGGGGCTCGATCCCAGGACCCTGGGATCATGACCTGAGCCGAAGGCAGACGCTTAACGACTGAGCCACCCAGGCGCCCCTTACTATCTCTTTTTCAATCTCTTGATGAGCCAAAATGGTCTAACTTCCTTTTAAATTAACTATCAAATTATCTTTACCATTGGGTTATCCTCTGTAAAAAGACACAAATAACCAATTAATTCAAAGCAGTGCTACCAATCTAATTGTTAAAATTTTATTAAAAATAGATCTGTTCCACACAAAAATGCCCAATAATTTTGACAAAGTTGCAAAAGCAATTCAACAGAGGAAGGACGGCCTATCAACAAATAATGCTGGAACAACTGGACATCCACAGGCAAAAAAAGGGAACCTTGACCTAAACTACATACTTTATTAAAAAAATCAACTCAAAATGCAGCATGGACTCAAATGTAAAATTATACATCTTCCAGAAAAGAACATAAAAGATAAACTTTGGGACCTAAAACTAGGCAAAAAGGCTTGACTTGCCTTTATGACAAAAGCATGATCTGTAAGAGGGAAAGTTAATAAATTTGACTGCATAAAAATGAAAAACTTTGCTCTGCAAAACCCCTGTTGAAAGGATGAAAAGACAAATTACAGACCCTGAAAAATATTTGCAAATCATATATCTGACAGAGGCTTTGTATATAGAATATATAAAGAACTTCCAAATTCAGCAGTAAACAAAAAAATAATTCAAACAGAAAATGGGCAAAAGACATGTATAGACCTTTCACCAAAGAAGTTATACAGATGGCAAATAAATATATGAAAGGATTTTCAACATCATTAGTTCTCTAGATGAATCTCTAAAGACAACAACAACAACAACAACAACAACAACCAAATAGCTCCCAAAGGAGCTGTTACAGGTTAAACTGTGTCCCTCCAAAAAGATCAATTGAAGTCCTAACTCTAGTACCTCAGAATGTGACCTAATCTGGAAATAAGGTCTTTACAAATTTAACCAAGTCAAGATGAAACCATGACAGCAGGCCCTCATCCAATCTGACTGGTGTCCTTATAAAAAAGGAAATTTGGACACTGATCTACAGAGGTAAGACCACATGAAGACACAGAGGGTGAAGATGGCCATGTGCCTGGGGTGATGTATATATAAAACCAAGGAAGGCCAAGGATTGCTTTCAAACACTAGAAGCTGGAAGAGGCAAGGGAGGATTTTCCCCAGAGCTGTCATAGAGAGCATGGCCCTGCTGACACCTTGATTTCAGATTTCTAGCCCCCACAAGTGTGAAATGATAAATTTCTGTTGTTTTAAGCAATCTTGTTTTTGGTACTTTGTGCAGCTGGCCTAGGAAACAACACTGATATATACTGCATGGTTTCATTTGTGTAACAATCACGAAATAACATAATTATAATGATGACACCAGATCAGTGCTGATGTCAAGTTTCTTGGTTTGGGTGTTGTATGGTGGCTATTGTGGGCATGGGGTGTTAGTATGGGAGACGGTGTACACTATATATTTCTTTGAAGTCTATTGTGAATCTATAATTACTATGAATCTAAAAAGTTAGAATAATTGTATTCAAAATAAAAGTTAAGGGGGTGTCTGGCTGGCCCAGTTAGTAGAGAGCATGTAACTCTTCATCTCGGGGTTGTAAGTTTGAGCCCCAGGCTGGGTGTAGAGATTACTTAAAAATCTTTAAAACTACATCAAAAACTAATGATGTACTGTATGGTGACTAACATAACATAATAAAATAAAATATAACTTAAAAAATAAAAAAAGTTAAATACAAAAAATATGTCTTTCACTTGCATGATTAGCCATTTGTATAATGGAAATACAACGGAATCTTCTTTGATGACTCAGGTTCTTGCAGTGACTCACTGTGCCATTCTTAAAGTCAACTGTTACTGTAGAGTGTATAGGTGATTGACTTGACCACACAGTGGCCCTGGGACTTAGCTTATTTCAATTTCTCCCTGAGGAAGTTGGTTTCTGGTGATTCTCTGTTCCACAAAAACAGAATACAGGAGGTAGAAAATTTTAGTGCACTGAGGAATCTGTTCCATTGGCTTCCAAGCCCCTACACTTCCTAAGTACCACCAATTCTTTGGTACATACACCCACCGAAACCCATACTTGCTGGCAGGCTGCACCTATGTTAGTGGAAGCATATTTCTTGGCAGAAAACTTGGGACAGGAGGGTATCAGTGTTTTCAACCAGCCACAAGGCAGGCTTCCTTCATCCAGTGAGGCAGATGATCTGCAGTTTGTCTTTGTCCTGGGGCTCCCCTCCACTGGGGCTATTGTCAAGACGGGCAGTGGTGTATCTGACACCTGTTTTTTACTTTACTCTGCTGTCAGCTGGGGCTTTGAGCAGGCGAGGCTCTGTGGGCAGGAACACGGGGTATATTGCCCCTGAGGACAGTATTCTATCTGCAGAGTAAATGGCGGCTGCACAGTGAACCACTGCCTGATGTCACAGCCCAACAACCTGGAATGTGTGTTAGAATAATGGGAGTGTGCCAGATGCCAAGCATGTCTTAACATACTGAGCGTTCTGCAGACGGTGAGGGTGGGAGGGAGTTTGCAGTCAGCCTTCAGTTTGCTTCAGGGTTGGAAGGTAAGAGACACCTCGGGTGCCTGGAACCTCCTCTTCACTATGGGCCTGTCCCTGCGCCTGTTGAGCCACATTCTGGGATGGCTCACAGGAAGCACTGTGACTGACTAATGTCAATCACTCTCTTATTCCTCAGGAGATGTACCAATTCACTAAAAGGTGAACAGAGAAAAGGAAAACAAGGATTGAACAATGGGTTGTTTTGTATACCTCAGGTGACAGATTTGCATGGACGTTCCTCTCTGAGTTAAGGTCAACCAGAGGTTTCTTTCTTGCAGAACTTATACCAAATGTTCAGCTTGCCAAAAACATCCCTTTCTCTCGTCTGCTTCTTGCTGATCTGTTGAGTGGGAAGGCAGCAAACTAGCAGCTCCTCTAGGCTGCAGCTCCCCAGCACTGCTGAGGCCTCCCAGAGGCCGCAGGGCTTCCTTCCCCTATTGATGGCTCAGAGTTGTTGGACAGTTCTGACAGGGGCTAAGCTCAGTCCTGAGATTCCTTCTTCCCTCTCCTTTCTTTCCTCTCTACAATCTCTGTGCCAGAAAGGAACTCACAGTGCTGGGCTGAGAAACTTTCAGGTGAGCTATGCCTAGGTTGTTTCATACACAGTACTTACCACAGTGGCTGGCAGCCTGCACCTGCACAAGGAATGGATTAATTGCCTCAGCATGGATCATGCATAAATGGATTTTTAAAATGCTTTTCTATTTAGCACCCCATTAATTTCGGTGAGAGGTTATCCTTTAATAAACTTTATAGCACCTTATCAGAAAGAGAAAGGAAGAGGGATTAATTACCTGTGGTCTTTGATAAATCACTCTGGCATAGAAACTGCAACGGGTACTAAGATCATTAGTCTGGAAAGGCATTGAAAATGATTAGAACACCCCACAGAGCACACATATACAGTAAAAATAATTAAAGACCCTATTAGAAACACAGATATTACCTGGAAAATTTCTCTTAAGAAGCGGGGAACTGGAGGCTGGTAAAGCTTAGAAATGGGGTCTTCTTCAATTATTTCAATTTGTCCCACATTTGGATGAGCAGTGAGGATGTAACAGAAGCTAGGAGGAGGCACATGAATTTTTACCTGTTTAAAACGAAGGCAAAGGTAGAACGTAAATATGCTAGTAAAAGATTCAAATACACTATTAAAATCTACTCTTTAATATATAGGTATTTATTCACAGATGCATTCTATTTCTCTGGAAAGTTGTATAAGAAATAGATTATGTTGTTTATCTCTAGGACCAAGCATAAGAACTTTGATACTTTTTGAATTTACCATGGATTCAAGACTTCATTTAAAAAATTAATTCTTCAGAGTATTCTTGAAAAAACCATTTAGAAACTTTTCCCTCTTAAATAATCTAGAATTGGGCATTTTTATTTTATTTTATTTTTTTAATTTAATTTTATTATGTTATGTTAGTCACCATACATTACATCATTAGTTTTTGATGTAGTGATCCACAATTCATTGTTTTCGTATAACACCCAGTGCTCCATGCAGTACATGCCCTCTTTAATACCCATCACTGGGCTCACCCATCCCCCTGCACCCCCTAAAACCCTCAGTTTGTTTCTCAGAGTTGGAATTGGGCATTTTTGACAACTATTTTCCTGGTCTAGTACTGTACAGAGTCATAGTTTTAGCAGTCTGCTAGGAAGTCAGCTACCACACAAGCAAGACAGCTCCCCGTTTTTAGCTTTGGGAGCTATGGCCCAAAGCAGCTGCTAGTCAGTCTGCTGGATAAAACTAAGGATGAAGAAGAAGGGACACATTTTGATCGGTTTTGCTACATGTGAGCAACTACCATAAACAATTTGATGCCGCAGGAAAATGGAAATCCCTGGCTCACCTGGTGGTTGAAAGAATATCCACAGAGTTTATTTATTAGGTTATGTGAGTTTGTGCTCTAATTGGTAACTGAGTGTTGGTTCTAATAGTGATTGGGAGGTGGTGGGGAAAACATCCTGTGTCTTAATTAGGACGAGGCTAAGACCCTAATTATTGCAATGGCATGCAATGGCTGTGGCTTAAAAACATCGCCGTAAATTAACCACAAGAAGAATGGAATGGCATAGGCAGAGAAAGCAGCCAGAGTTTGGACTTTGGAGTGAGGTGAGCAAGACTGAATCTCTGTCCTCCTGGCTCTCAGTCCCTGGACCTCCCCTTTTCAGGGATGTGGACTATGAGTGGGGCCTGGCTCAGCAGCGGGCAGAGCAGGTAGTGACCAGGGGAAGCTCTTCCGATGGTGTCTTACCTCTTCACAGGCTCGGCCATGGCCAGGTGCTTTCAGAGGCATCACTGGAGGCCACATGGTATCGATCAAACTGAAAAGCCCTGCTGTCCTGGAAAAAGAAAGGATGTTGTCCATAGTATTCATCACTTAAGTGCCTCTTTATGATCTGGTCATATGCAGTTTTGCCTAACAGACACCATTCCTAATGCCAAGGAGATACCATTCAGGATGCGTGGTGATTCAGATGGGGAAGACAGTGTCACACAGACCAACAGGCCTTTGAAACTGCACAAAAACAGGAAGGATATTGTTCATTAAATTATGATCCATCTCCCAATGAAGTATTATACAGCCACTGAAATGGTTACATAGAAAATATTTAAAGACATGGAAAAATGTTTGATACCTTGCTAAGTGAAAAGCAGGCAACAAATTATAATGTCTTTATGTGTATATCTACGCATGCACCCACATGTAATAAGCCAAAGGAAAAGGAGACTGAAAGATATAAAAATGATTTTAGTCGGTATCTGAGTAGAGCTTAGAAGTGATATTCACTTTCTTCACTGGGCTTTTATGTGTTTCCTTTTTCCAAAACAGGTATGTGTTACCCACATAAGAAGAAAATTATCTATTTATCAAATTATCTAAAATAAAGAATATAGCCAGACACAAAAGGACAAATATTTTGATTCACCTCATGAAGTTCCTAGGGCAGTCAAATTCACAGGGAAAGAAACTAGAAGGGTGGTTGCTAGGGGCTGAGGGAATGGGAAATGCGCAGTTAATGTTTAATGGTTTGGAGTTTTAGTTTAGGAAGATGGAAACATTCTAGAGATGGATGAGAGTGATGGATATACAATAGTTTGAATGCACTCAATGCCACTAAAAATGGTTAAGGTGGAAAATTTTGTGTTATGTACATTTTACCACAATGAGAAAATCCTGTTTTAGTTGCTATAGGTATGAGTGTGTGTACGCACACATACACGAATAGCTCACAAAGGCTTCTTAGATTTTACTCTAAGTTTCAACAATATTAATATATAATATGTTGTTTACTTTTTAAAAAGCTTGTGTCCTTAATAATTAATGTGACATATTATTATTTCTTTCAGTGTTTAATAGCAAGTACTGTTTTAGGTGCTTAGGATTTGGCAGTTAACAAAAGTGAACAACTCAGAACCTGAAAATCATGTACTAGAACAAGACTCAAGCACTTCTCCACCTCCTTTTGGTTTCTTACACCACTTACAATAGAAGAAGCCCACGGAGAGTGTGGCCTGTGACAAAGACCCAGCTCAGTATCATTCCTGTGAATTTTCAGGTTCTGGCTCAAAATCAAGCACAAAAAATAAGCAAAGGCAGGGAATTAAAAAAGGAGTGCCTAGTGAAAATTCACTCTCTTCCTCTCGTTTTTTTTGTTTGTTTTTGTGTTTAAAGATTTCATTTATTTGAGAGAGACACACAGAGAGAGCACAAGCTGGGGAAGTGGCAGGCAGAGGGAGAAGCAGACTCCCCTGCTGAACAGGGAGCCCGACGTGGGGCTCGATCCCAGAACCCTGGGATCATGACCCGAGCTGAAGGCAGACACTTAACTGACTGAGCCACCCAGGTGTTCCCCTCTTGATTATTTCTGAGAAGTACACTGCTGCAGCTATTTGTGTGAGTGATGGACAGGGCTGGGTGACCCAGGGCCAACTAAGGTCAGGAAAGGCTGTCAGGGAAGGTTTGGAGGTGAGCTCATTTGACCTCTCACTGCCCTTCCCCAAGACTAAGGAACTGGGTGGGTCCACTGTGCCTCTGGGTGAGGGGGAGGGAGAACAGGACACGGACTGTCCACTTGCTCCCTGTCTGCCATGTGCCCGGGACTTCCTGTTCCCGGCTTGGTTCCTTTCTTTTCACTGAGCATGCCTCCTGACTCGTGTTCCTCCTCCATCCTCCCACTGTTTGATGTGAGCTCCCCGGGGGATGGGCATGGATTTGTCCCAGTTACATTTCCACTGCTGCAGAGTAGTGCCCAGTTCATACAAAGTGATCAAAAAGACTTGGTTTGGTGAATGAATAACTGACACCCACTATCACAAGTGCCTACATACTTCATTGCAGAAATCAGACCTAGCATCTTTTTTTAAAAAAGATTTTATTTATTTATCTGACAGAAAGACACAGCGAGAGAGGGAACACAAGCAGGGGGAGTGGGAGAGGGAGAAGCAGGCTTCCCGCTGAGCAGGGAGCCCAATGCGGGGCTCTATCCCAGGACCCTGGGATCATGACCTGAGCCGAAGGCAGACACTTAACGACTGAGCCACCCAGGCGCCCCAGACCTAGCACCTTTGATATGCTCATTTCCTATTTGTAAGTCTGAGAAATGCAATGTTCTAGTGTAAACAGCAATTTTCTACACCAATAAATAACGTGTTTCTCACCTTAGACCTGACTACATTTCTAAGATAAAGCTAAGATGTTACTCAAGCCCCTTGTTTAACGGGGAGTGGGTGCAGCATGGGCCTTGGAGTCAGACCTGTGTCTCGCTCTAGCTCTGCTGGTTATGTACTTTGACACCTTAAGAAAGTTGCTTAATTCCTGGCCCTTCTGTCTCCTCTTCTCTAAAACTGGGAGAGATCAGTATGTAACTGCTGTTACTGCTAGGAGTGAAATAAATAATGCATGCACAGCATCTACGAGGGTTTCTATGCTTAGAATAAGTACTCAATACATGTTTCTGTTGTGTGGAGTCCCATAAACACCATGGTGACAGGGTTCTGTGGTTAGTTAGGGTTGCGGTGTGCAGCATATCCGTGGCTTAGCAGAACACCCTGGAGTGGTAGACTCTGGAAAACCTTGTGTAAAAGACACATGTAAAATCTGGACAAATGGAAGTTTCTTCAGTTTATAACCATGAAATCCTTTTTGGTGTAATCACTATTAATATCCCAAGAAATCAGTGTTCCCTTGGAATTATCTTTGAGAAGTGCTGTACTACGAACATATTCTTAGAAAAGTTCTATTTGAATTTAATGATGCTAATTTAGAGGATGTTACTAATGGCTAATTTTTTAAAGTTTGTACTGGTTACAAATTTATATTTCAATGTAGACTCTTATATATAGGATCCCTATGCATTAAATAAAAAGCTTAGTCTTATAAAAAATCAGCTTCTCTCCTGTCGTGGAAAATAGATATGATTCAGATGGCTGTTATTGCTCTATGAACTAGAACCTTTGTCTTGGGCAAGACACACGTTCCTCCAAATGACTCCAGCCTCTGAGTGGGACAGACTTTGTGCTGAAGCTAACTTTTGGCACAGTTAGAGTGTATTGTTCTTCCCACTTCAGTTCATTCCCTACCATTCATTTTTGCATAAGGTTTCACTTTGTTGCATAGGAAACTCATTCTTAAAAGCCATCCCTTTGGGCGCCTGGGTGGCTCAGTCATTAAGCGTCTGCCTTCGGCTCAGGTCATGATCCCAGGGTCCTGGGATCGAGTCCCGCATTGGGCTCCCTGCTAGGTGGGAAGCCTGCCTTTCCCTCTCCCACTGCCTCTGCTTGTGTTCCTGCCTTCTCTCTCTCTGTGTTAAATAAATAAAATCTTTAAAAAAAAAAAAAGCCATCCTTTTAAAATCTGTTTAAAACAACAAACAAGCTGCCTGACAGGGTAGAGGCTACCAAAAGTTTATATTTTAATTTTTAAAAAAGTTTACAAAATAAATATTTAATTAAAATAGAGAAAAAGGACATATAAAGTCATTAGGTTTATAAATATGATTTAAAAAATCTGAAAACGTCATTTTGCCAGAATAAATTTCTTAGGATATATCTTAATTTATAGATTACATGAAATGAATCTGCAGAAAAATTTGGGTCACATCTCAGAAAATTAGGCAGCTTCTATAGCTACATTTTTATTTATAGTAACAGATGTACTTTTTAAATGGGAAGACATTGATACATGCACATATTAAAATTATATTTACCAAACTGCACACTTAAAATACATTTTGTACATTTTGTTATGTACATATCATTATATATATATTTTTTACCACAGTAAAAAATTATATTTACCACAAAAAATAAGTAGTATTTTGATTGGGGTCTCCGGGGACTGTTGATAGTTCATAAAAAGGGGTATCCTTTCTGTGTGAGATGTGATGCAATATGAACACCCCAAATTCTTTACTGTACCATAGGAACATAGAAGGTGGTATAAACCCCATTTTTAAAAGAGATATGTCACAAATGAAAAAATTCATACTTTTCGAGTGTACAGTGCACTGATTTTTAGTGTATTCATAGAGTTGTGTAACTTTCACCACTACTTTCAGAATGTTTTATCATGCCAATATTATCCCAGATACACTCCCTGCTGTGCCCATTAGCAGTCACTCTTGCTACTGATCTACTCGCTGTTTTTATGGACATTGTAAATAAATGGAATAACATAATTTGTGGTCTTTTGTGTCTGGCCTCTTTCACTTAGCATAATTTTTTTAAGGTTCATCCATGTTATGACATGTGTCAGTACTACATTCCTTTTTGGCTGAATAATATTCCATGGTATGGATATTATCCATTCATCAGTTTGTGGACATTTGGGTTGTTTCTACTTCTCAGCTGTTATGAAAACTGCCTCTATGAACATCCATGTACAAGTTTTTGTGTGGACATCTATTTTCAGTTCTCTTGGGTAGATAACCTAGGAGTGATTTGCTGGGTCGAATGGTAATTCTGTGTTTAACTTTTTGAGGAACTGCCAAACTACTGTACACAGTGCTGTACCATTTTACATTCCCAACAATGTGGGGGGTTATAAATCCAATTCTGCTTTCAAGTTAAATAAATGTATTTTCTAAAATTTGGAAACATGAAACTTTGCATCTGGAAGGTAACTTCCAGATACAAACTTTGTATCGGGCTCTCTGCTCCGCCATGGGCCTGCTTCTCCCCCTGCTTGTGCTCTCTATCTCTGTGTCTCAAATGAATTAAAAAAAAAAAAAAAGAATTCTTAGTATTTTTTTCCTACATTCACTTTTATGCCTTTTGGACACTGAAATTTTAACAAGAACATGTATTATTGTTTTTTAAAAGATTTTATTTATTTATTTGA